TTAGTTTGAAGCCACAAGCTACAGCCAGGAATGGAGCCTGAAGAGTGGGGAAAAAACACAGCCAGAAATGTGGTGGAGTAGTTCAAACAGGTTGACTTAGTGGAGCGATTCTTTAATTCAGCAAGATTTTTTTTTTTTTTCATGCAGGCTTTTCTGCCACTTTAACTTTGGCCTGGATTGAAGGTGCAGCGCTGTGCTACGGTGCAGCTGCATCTCCAGGCTCTATCCTCTGGCTGTCGACACACAAATCCACCCCTGGGCTACAGTGTTCTAGCCAATCACTACTAAGCCTTACTTCCTGCTGTTGAAGCTGCTGTTATGATTGTTTGTGAGAGATGAAGGCGAGATCTTTGGCAAAGCACAGAGATTGGTAGCACCAGATGACCTTCAAAAGATAAAAGAATAGATCATGAGTTAAAAGGAGAGAAAAAAAAAAGGAGCCACCAGGGAGAGGTGTGCACAGGTCTAAGAAATACAAGGGGCGATGACAGGGAATAAAACGGGGACATCAGCAAAAAAAAAAAAAAAAAAAACAGAAAGAAAAGAAAAACGAGCAAAACAGGCAAAACAAATAATCAAAATCACAAAGGGAAGGAAGAGTTTAGAAAATGGTGAGGTGTAGTTGTGACAGAGCAGGCAGACAGTAGAAATTATTATTATTATTATTATCTTAATTAGTGACAGTGGAAAAATCAACCTATTATATATATTTATTTTTTTTAAATGTACTTTTTGGAATCTTTTACAGGAAATTGTCGGTAGATCTAATTCCGGTTTTCCTTCATTCATCTGTGAACTGTTTAAAAAAAAACAAAAAAAAAAACGAATACTGATGTCGTGCTGATTGCTTACTTTTGTGCCGTGGAGCCTCTGGGCCAGGAGCCGTCCTCATTCTTCTGCTCTATGACAAGAATCTGTGACAGACAGGGGAGAGGCTTTGTTTGCTTTAAACAGATTTAAAGATAGCGACACAAAAAAAAAACAGGTTCAGGTGGAGAAAATGAGCAAGAACAGGTACGACTGGGGGTGTGTTTAGGCAAGAATCTGACGATACGATAAACTGTGGTCCCCTCTCCTATCGCGGTAGTTGTATTCCAAGACCGACCGCAAAATAGAAAAAATCGTGAGACAAGATAGTTATTATATCGTTATTAATGTTAGTATTACCTTCCCCACACAACTATATAAACAGTAGAGTTGTACAATGGCGACGCAAAGCGAAGTGAACGAGAGAGCGGCCAACAGACGAGGGGAGATGCTGAGAGATGCTACGATGCATGAGCCAATCAGAAGGAGGAACAGAAGAGCATGTTCAATTAGCCAACAGTACGCTGTGTACGATCTCGTCTAGGTAAACAAAGCTACCAGCGATTGTTCGCAAATGCGCGTATCTCAATTTCAAAACGAGAATCCACATTTTTAGAAGCCAAAACTTTTCGTATGTTTAATTATTTTATAATGTCTTTTAGTTTATTTTTTGCTATACGAAAATTTCGTGAGATCAGATTTAAAAAAAAATCCACGATGTACTGCGATATAGTGAGGGTTTAAAAAAAAAAAAAATGTAATTGTAGAAAAAAGGTGAGCATAGTAAAGACACAATGCTGTTTCATGCCTAACGTCAGGTTCACTGTCCATCACAGTCCTGTAGATGGCAGTGGTGTGACAAAGACACAGATACACAAATGGGATCAGTAATTGTCCATGATGATTTTTAGTAAAGCAAGTAGCAAATGAGAGATTTAAAAGTTCACACAAGAAAACAATCAAATTAAAAATACTGAGAAACTCTGACTTTTAATTATAACTTAAATTACACACAACTTTCTGATTGGCCACAGCTCCTACCTGTCCTTGGTAGAGGCCGGCGTCCTGTATAGTGCTGTCTGGTTTGTTGAGTGGCTCAAAGGTGTTGCTCATGTACCTGTTCCACAGTCTGGTCTCCTTCTCGTCAGGAATGCTGAACAGCTTCCTCATCTCCTTCTCTATCATATCTGTAGATGAGATGATAAAAGAAATGGAACGGCCATGTTTGATTGGTATGAAACGAGACCTGAGAGCAGTGGGTACCCTCAGTGGCTAGAGCATCAGACTTTTAATTTGAGGGTCCCGAGAGCTCAGTGGGTAGAGCATCAGACTTTTAATTTGAGGGTCCAGGGCTCAAGTCCCTGTTCGGGTGGAAGTTTGGCGCCCCCCACGTGTGGCAGCCTCTGAGTTTTTTAAGTGGTTCTGTAGTGTAGCGGTTAGCACGCCTGCCTTACACATCTGCATTTTATGTTATTGCCTCTACCATTGCACTGCCACTACTGCTACTTACAGTACTAGTGATAATCCTTTTACACTGCCGTGAAAAAAAAAACAATCACTTTTATAAAATTTAAATTTACATTTTACATAAATTTTAATTTAATGTATAGCTTTGATGACAACAAAAAATTTTATATAGTTGGCTGCATAATTATTTCTCAGGAAAGTCATTCAACAATAAACTTAATCTCAGGAAAAATAAAAAGTCAGTTATTCCACTCTGATCCAGGCTGACCTACCTATCGTGTCAGCTTTACTGAAACGTCTGGTGATGACGTTGTCCATATTACTGTCTTCACACAGCTTCAGCTCCGTCAGGTACACCTCCACTTTGCAGTGCTTCACAAACATACCCTGTTCCACCACCTGAATGTGAAAAAACACAGGGACAATACGGTCAGTTAGCATTCAATCCACAGGATTCCTGTCAAACACTGGATCAAATAATAATAATAATAATAATAATAATAATAATAATAATAATAATAATAATAATAATAATAATAATAATAATAATAATAATAATAATAGCTATTATTATCATCATCATCTGAGGTCAATCAAGAACACATTGTTAAAAAATAGAAACCTTATATATACATAACTGACTACATTAAACCAGTTGTTGTACTATGGGTTGTACTATGTATCATCTAGTTGATAACAAGGCAGGCTGCGCTGCCCTTGTTGCTCCTCATCATGTGGTTTGCTGACAGGGACACAGTTAGAGTGTAGCGCCCAAATTAGCAGCACCTCGTCGAAACAGCTGAGGGGGTCCCAGCCTATTTATTTTCACCGCTGAGCCCATGCAACACACACACATATATACAGACGCAGCACCATCTTCCCCGAGAACTGCAGTAGTCATGCATACACACTCACACAGCTCAGTTTCTGTCACTGACCCTCCCCTATTTAAACCCCCAACCTCCGGCGTGCCCATCCTACCCCTCAGCATTTCACCCATGTGTTCGTAAGCTCCAAGATAAAAGGCCGACGCGTCACCAAAGCCTGGGCAGGAACTCCGAATTCAACGGTAAGGCTGTAAGCGTTTAAACCCACACGCACTCCTAACCATCATTAATGTCACTCCCACTGCTTTCAAACGCTCCTCTCAGGGTGACATCAGCCACCACGCCACCATTTCAAAAACAAGGACACACTCAGGAACACTCCGCCGGTGCTGACAGTCACAGCAGGACAGTGGGTGGAAATACAGCCCCAGTCCAGTCACACAAACTCTCATGAATCCTTTTCAACCTCAGCTCCTTCCACGCACAAAAGGATAACAACCCATGGAACAGAAGCAGACAAAAAGTTCAAAGAAAACAGAGGGGAAAGTAATAAAGGACCTCCTTCATGTTGTGTCTTGCAGATTGCTCCATGTAGCTTTTCAGTCATGCAGATCGTTGCCTGAAAATAGAAACCCGGCGGCCACCCGATATGTCCCAATACATACATGGCAAAAGGGGAGGGTCTGTCGACGAGGGGGAAGGAAGGAGCCGAGCAAGAGAGTAAGGGACAGAGATGGAGGGGGAACAGGAACCTCTCCCAGCAGCCATGACGCCGTGACTAGTGAGATTTGAGGCAGGGATTTGATCCTGTGGGCCCGGTCCACTTGAAGTCATCACCATGAAAATATATCAAGGCAACAAATGACACCACAGACTGAAGCTTACAGCAGACCTTACAGCACAGACCTTACAGCACAGACCTTACAGCACAGACCTTACACAGGTAACAAAAAGTGTTTTTAAAACCGAACCACAAATGAATGAATGAATTACATCACGGGGGAAACGTTGTTGTCACCTCAACTCAAATCACGGCGAATTATTTAAGCATTTTAATGAATTCATTTCTGAATAGAAGTGTGAGAATTATTTAAGCATTTTAATGAATAGAATTGAATAGAATAGAATAGAATTCAGAAATGAATTCATTTCTGAATAGAAGTGTGTATTGGCACGTTTTTGTCAATGTTTTACGTATTACAATAATATGATATATTGCGATATACTGCGATACTATAGGTATGGTGATTTACTAAGAGGGATCTACATTTGTAACCACTAGAGAAGAAATAAAAGAAAATAAAATGAACCAATGCCATGAAATTTGAATGTAAATTGTTAAAAAAAAAGCAACACAGTGCTGTAAAATATAGATACAGTATCGTGAAATGAAATATCGTGGTTTTTCAGTGTACTGATATTTTCTTACACTTTTATTTCTGAAAGTTACACACAATATTTTATACCAAACCAGGTTGACAAACTGCACAGGTGAACGCTTTAATATTTTAAACTGCATTTACACACTGATCACAAATGACTCTGAGCCAGTTCTATTACTTCCACATCTATTTCTTTCAGCTCTAAAGAACGCACACGAGACGTTATTGCTTCTAACCACAGAAAACCAACTGCGGCTCAATTCTTTCACTTCATTCACAACAGTAATGGACACGACTGGACACTTACCTTTCGTGCAATCGGTTCCTGACCCTCTGTCAGTCCATACCAACTGACCAACTTGTTCCAGCCCTCTGTGGGGACCAGGATGTAGTCCAGCTCATCGATGAGGTGTTCTTTGATGGCAAGCACATCGCCATCTAAGGAGCAGAAGAAGTAACAACAATAATTAGACCATTAAACAGTAAACATCTGCTCAACTTTATGATCCAGAACAGAGTTTTCAAATTTTTAAAAGTTGAGCAGAAATTCTTTTTTTTTTACCACTTTATCATTTCTAGTTCAGACTAGTCAGAATTAAATCATAATATCTGATACATCCAAATGAAAGTAACTAGTTTGAGTAAAAATAAAAAATAAGAGTTACATTTACTGCACTTGGGGAAGTTAAGAAAATGAAATAAAATACAAGATTTTGTAACTCAGATTTGAGTCAAAATGAAAAATAAGAGTTACATTTACTGCATTTGGGAAGGTTAAGAAAATGAAATAAAATACAAGATTAAATAGAATGAAAGTCTAACCAAGGAAATGGTATTACAACAAATTTTCATCTTATCTTATCTTCTTAGTATAACTAAATGACATTTAACATATATTAAGACTATAACACGCATAAGGTAAAAAAAGTGATTATGGGAAAGTAAAAGGATTCCTTTAAAAAAATGTCATATTCATTTCCTTTTCACTTTGAAGAGAGGAACAGCGTCATCTCCCTTACCTCTGAGAAGACCAGCGTTGTCAACTGGTCCTGGGTAGACATTCTGGTCCCCCATCTGGTACTTGTCCCAGCTGTCAAATCCGACATATTTCTTCCACTGTTTGAACCAGTGACTGTCTACAAGGTACCTGCGTAGAAGGCAGGCAGTAATATTAATTATAATTTATTTTAATAATAAAGGTAGAATAACCTGGCATTAAATGCACATGTTGGTAAATGGAAAGCATTTTGGGTCAACGTTGATCAAATATTTCCTTATGCTTTTTTTTCACAACAACCAGTAATATGACGTACAGCTTTTGCCAAGTGAATATAAAAATTGTGCATTGCAGTTATTAAGGCCAAGACAGGACGAGGTGTGGTTTGCTACAAATCAATGAAGATCAATGGCCACTTATTACATTCAACGGTATCCATTCCACATTGTCACAAACTTTTGACAAAGCAGTGATAACTTCGTTCACTCTATGTGGTTTGGTAAAGTACTGTGGATTTCTTTTTTTCTTTTTTTTTGTTCTACAGTGGACTGATAACAGAGGAACCAAAGGACACGGGTACAACTTTTTTTTCTACAGTGGATTGATTTCAGAGGAACCAAAGGACACGGGTACAACACGATTAAAATGTAAACTAAATATGTTTTTGTATTCCGTCACCGGGTCGATATTGACAACAGCTTAGAAAGCTTCTATGTCAATATGAAATCTGTCGTTAAGCGTGAGGCAGACTTACAGTTGCTCTGTTGACGCCAGGATGAGTTCAGGTTGCTACATGCCTGGCTTGCTGCCTCTGTGATTTTGACAGGTGTTTTTTTTTTTTTTCCGACTCCGCCCTTTGGAAGTCGACAGATGAACCCACTGACTAGGAAACCACTTGAAGCTTCGAAAGTCTAGCCCGTTAGCTCAAATCGAGCCTGCTAACTAGCTCAGAAAAACGATACGTATCCTCGCCGGGATGATGTCATGGGATACAATTCTAAAATGTCATATTTCAATTTTGAACACAGTCACCAGGATGTAAGTTTTAACAGAGATTAGGAGCTTGACGTTGTTAACTGTCAATCAAACTACTGGCATTAGCTCCAATCACCGCTAGCCTGTCGAGCTGACACACATGAAACTGACAGGATTCCGTTAGCCAGCACAGAGCTAAGTGTCAACACGGTTCGTCACTTACGGCTTTCTCTCCCCTTACAGGTGTTGACAGCACCGGTCGAGAAAGCCCCAGACCCCGCTTTGTTTTTAAAAGAGTTTCGACCTAAGTCTTACCAAGTGTCTCCTTTTCTGAGTTGGGTTTTCAACAGTGCTGCGACCTCTCCTCTTTGGGTATCCAGATCAGCCGCTCCTCCTTCGGCCATCTTTCCTCAGACATGTCCTGCTGCATGCTGGGAATAATCGGGGCGTCACCGAGTGAACGTAAAATGTGTGTTGCAGCATCAGCCAATCAGCAACTCGTAGTCGTAACGCGAGCAGCGTGACACCCAGTGGCCAAACGTATTCGAGAACAATTTCTTCCAAAAATGCCCCATCATTGTGACTACACTTATCAAAACCAAGCCCTTACGCATGTCCTAAATATTACAACTAGCATTATTTTAATAATGGAAGTAAATCGCCCAGTTTGAAATATGATAAATAGTATTTTTAATATGCGGAGGGTGGGTGGTTTTATAAATCATTCTAAAAACAATTACGTCATTTTTAATTACTGTAAATGGAGCGACTTATTGCAGATGTAATAAATTACTTGTACTTGTATTTGTGTTCCACAAGGAGAGTTGTAAATACCAGGATCCATTTTATTTTGAAATATTGACTTACACACTTATTAATATTTAATCCGTTTAAATAAAATAAACAATTTCACAAGTTTTTTGTAGACATTTATTTTTGCTAATAGCCAAAATCGTTGCATTATTTAAGCCTTTTCTGTTTATGTGAATATTTACAGTTAAAATAACCTGTACACAGATTTCACCAAATGTTTGAGACAACATTTAAATCATGACATTTATTTAAAACATATGATTCACAACGAACACATTAAATGGAACTATAAACATACATTAAAATCGTTCTACACTTTATGAACAGTATTCCTAATGTTATCCGCGGGAGACACTAGTCACATAAAATAATTAAAATATTATTTTATATGGAAGAAAAAAGTTAAACATATTACATCGCATTTCAATTGACATGTAAGCAGGAAATACGGCACAATTGTTCATGATAATAAAATGTATAATACAGTAGGGAGAACATTAACCCACACGTAGTCCTCTTCACAATGGTAACCAAAAATAACCGCAATTCTCGCTATGATTACTGTTGCAAACCAAAGTAGAAAAAATTTAAAATCATCATATTATGTACAGAATGCACTGGGACGCATGTACGAACAGCGTGACCTAGGTTTTTCATATTTACTCATTGAGTTAAATGCCGTTTTTTGTTTTCCTTTTTTTCCTCAAAGAATTAAATGTATATTGTATTTCAATCCCAATTTGAGTCGAGTAAATATCCCTGAAAACACCGTACAGCATCTGCCTTTGCACAACTGACTGTTCTCTCCTGAGTCCTTCTCCAGATACAGTAGATGATGTGACAGATTGTTGCATCTCTCCCTGCAGTGACCTCTGTGATGGAGTAGTTAAAATTGGAACAAAACCCGCACTCCTCTCCTACATAAATACAAATACAGTATCATCACCACTTTCAAACGGTGGAGTCTTTCTCCGAGACAGGAGTGTAGCCAGTTTTGGACACAGTGGCATCCGTCTCAGGAGCAAAGATTGCCAGTAACCTCTCCTGCTCCCTTTTAGTTTTGGGCAAATCATCAGACGGAGTGGTGAGCAGCTGAATACGCTGTGGAAAAAAATAAAATAAAATAAAAAAGGTTTCATGAGGCAGAACAAAGCAATAAAATAAAATAGAATTAAAGTAGAGAGGTAAAAGGAGCCATTAGCGTTACCTCTCGGAGTGTTCCCTCTGTGATGCTGATCTTGTACACCATCCAGAGTGGGATGCAGACCATGGAGGAGAGAGCGAGCAGCCAGCCAATGACATAGCCCCACCATGGGTACACGTACTCGTTATTGTATTTAAGAGGAGTATATTTGATGAGGGAAAAGGCAAATGTACCCTAAGAGAGAGATGCAAAAAAAAAAAAAAAAGATTGTCTCAGTTGTAGGTTGGCCTTTGTCAGTTTTGGTTCAGTTACTTTGTTGACACTCACAATGCACGTGGCAGGGCTGAGGAACAACCAACAGTATTTGATGTAAGGTCCTGGGCGGTAGCCAATCATGTCCTCAATGTTGTCATAAAAGCGATCCACACCTGCAAAAACACAGAGGTCTCTTTTAAAAAAAAAAGTGTTTTTGTAGACAAATATTTGCTGGAAAAAAGACAAGGTTTTGTTTTATTTGAGGGAAGGTAGACTGTACCATAGACCCAGGCGATGCAGACTGTCTCAAAAATGGACATGAAGAGAAGACACATGCCGCTTGCAGCGTAGTAATCAAAAAGCTGGAAGACGTACATGCCTCCCTGGAGAGACGGGGGGAAAATAAACTTTAATAATAATTTCAACGGTGCAGTACTCATGCAGTACAAAGTAGAATGATGTACTTGTTAATAGCAGATCAATATACATTTATCCTGTATGTCAGTGATCAACTGGTGGCTCGCGGGCCGAATCTGGCCCACCCAACCATCCAATCCGGCCGTCGACTAGATTGCAAAAGAAAAATAAGATGTAATTGTCGGTTCTGTAGTGTAGTGGTTAGCATGCCTGCCTCGGGAAACAGAGCAGAGAGCAGAGTCCTGGGTTTGATTGAAACAGAGCAGAGAGTCCTGGGTTTGATTCCCAGAGGAACCACATGCTTGGCCCCTGCTGGGGGCAGCCTGTTAACAGCGTCTCTGCTGTTAATACAAGAATTTTCCAAATATAGGTCATATATTTTTTATTTTTTTAATAAAATACGGTGCGGTCCCCACTATTAAAGCAACTGGAAAAAAACAAAAAACAATTGAGACTTAAATAACTATCACTAATCCACACCATATTTGACTATATTCACATTCTGTTAGACAAAAATGTGATTTAGTTTTTTATTTTATTTGTGTGGCATTTGTCCAGAACAAGTCTGACAAATATAGTTGGTGAAGGGGGTGGCGGCCAATCCACTTTCATCTTTGTCTCAGCTCATGTTTATTGTTGTGTATGTGTGGCCCCAGTGTCTGACCCCCTACCTCCGTCAACATGATGAGGCCCACGAGGAAGGAGACGAGACTAACAGCTAACAGAAAGAGCTCCCGGCGATTTTTGCGTCGGAACACTTCAGGGTACATGTCAACAACCGCTGTCACCAGGCTCTCGACGCACACAAACTGAAGGAGCAGCACGGGGGAAAAGAAAAGAACGAGGTCAATAATTAACCACTGTTTTATGGAAAAGAAAGGGTCAAAGTTAACGTTAACTTTTTACTTTACCTGACTGTCCAGTCCCAGAAAAACAATCATGATGAAGAAGAGAGCAGCCCAAAGAGGAGAGAAGGGCATCATGGTCACAGCGCGGGGGTAGGCTATGAAGGCCAGACCGGGACCTGGAGCACAGAGAAATCTAATGATGAAAACAGCCTCACTCTGAGGGTCAGGAACTGGTGTTGTTGTTGTCCCGCTGTTCAAGTCTCACCTGACTCGGCCACTTCTGAGATGGGAACATTCTGTTCGTAGGACATAAAACCCAGGATGGAGAAGATGGCAAAGCCCGCCACGAAACTGGTGCCACTGTTTAAACAGCACAGTGAGAGGGCGTCTCTGCAAAAGACAGATTGGCATTAAAATGAGAAGGGACAGAAAAATTAAACTTATATATATACTGTATATATATACAGTATATATATAAGTTTAATTTTTCTGTCCCTAATACTTAGCTAATATTACTTTAGCATTCAAATGATAGCATAGCTAATGTTATTGAAAAAAGACATATGGCACAAGTAGCTTTGTGTTAGCAAATATTTAACTTGAGAAACTACACAAACTAAGGTGAACTTTAGAAATGAGAGCAAATAGACAAAAGTGATCTTAAACAAAAACAACAAATGGCAAAATGGCCAAAACATAGTAGACATCATGCTAGTTTCCGTTGCAAATGTGGTAGAGGGTACAAAAAAACAAACAACCCTTAACAGGATACCATACCTGTAGCAGTTGTTGTTATATTTGTTATAGCTGCCCAGGGCTGTCAGTGAACCTAAACAAATGGCGTAAGAGAAGAAAATCTGGGTCCCAGCATCCATCCACACCTGACAGAAAAAAACATTTAAGTAAGATAAGATAAGAGTGTGTGGTGTGGTTGTAAAGTGACAAAGTGACAAACTGCTAACTGCTAACTGCTAACTACTAGCTGCTAATGCCCTGATGTTTTTCATCCTTTCCATTACGGTTTCATTTATGTATTCAGCAGCAGGAGGGTTAACAGTCAAGCTAATTTGGGGAACTCTTGAAAGGAGACCACTAGTTAGGAAGGCTGGACTTCCAGAGGGGTGAGAAGGCAAAGGTGGAGACAAGGAGAGAGAGAGAGACGGAAGCTCTTGAAGCTAGGTGCTTCTCGAAGATAGACAGTGACCCCTGTTCCGTTAGACCCATGGAACGGGTTGTCTGGTCAAGGTGTAGGAACTGCCAGACGACACTCCCTAGATGAGCGGAGTGGTCGTGGGGTAACATAAGCTTTCATCAGAGCAGACCCCAGGATAGCATTACTGATTTGAATCTGACTGTGGGCTACGGGTGGCTCGATGCTCGACGCTCGACACATCGTGTTCTGGTTTTACTGTAGTGGTTTTGCAGCACAGGCTTGGAGGTTAGTCAGAAGGACCTTTGCACCCGGCTAAGACTGCCCCTCAAGAGTCAAACAAAAGAACAGATTAGAGAGGTCTCTGTTTGGTTTCCAATGGCCCGACCCGTGATAGCGGTTCCACTCCCTGATGGGTTTCAGGTGATAGCAAGGAACCAGCAGAAACTCTTCAAGGCCTTTTGTAGTAGTCACTCTGACCTGTTTTACCAATGTTTTTTACCGGTATGTAGAGACTCTGACAGGGTTTCTATGAATGAACATTTACTACTGAGATAACAGAGGCCATTACAGGCTTTATTTTTCAGTCTTTATGCCTCAGTGGTATCTTAAAGTTTTCAGGAAAGCCTTATGAAAACATTCAGAGTCATGGCCATGAAAAGGTCTCTTATGTCAATCTTGTAAAATGACTTAGTTGAGACATGAAACACATGTAGTAAATATAACATTCTAGCCCCTCCCTCACCTGCGGGTCTGACAAACGTCCCAGGTCAGGGTACAGGTAGAACTGGACACCGATCCCAGCGCCCGGCAGGGTGAGACCTCTGATTAGCAGCACAATCAGCATCAAATAGGGGAAGGTAGCAGTGAAGTAGACCACCTGTGCAAACACACACGGATGAGGGTGAGGCAAACACTGGACAGTTCTAAAGACTATCAAGGGGCCACATACAGAGAGATGAGGAAGAGAGGAGTGGCAAATAAGTACATTAGGGTGGTGCAGAACACAAAAACTGACTTAGTGAGAGTGAGGAGGAGGAGGTGGCATTAGAGCAGTGATTCCCAACCACTGTGCCGTGGCGCACTAGCGTGCTCCCAAAAACTGTTATTTACTGCAAATATTTTTTTGTTTAATTCATTCTTCTTCTGCTAGGTGGCAGCAGAGGCTATTAAAACAAAAAATAATAATAATCAGAGCTGTCAAAGAAGATCTTTGTTTTTGCTTTTCTTCAATTCCTGCCAGTATAACAGCGTAGTCTTCAACTAAACAGGCCGAGATTTGAGTCAATTATGAGGTCATTTAAACTCGAAGGTTAATATACTTCATTACATCTACTTTTTGTGAGATTTTTGTTCGTTGATGTGCCGCAGGGTTTTTACCCATGACTGAGATTTTTGTTCGCTGATGTGCCGCAGGGTTTTTACCCATGATCAAAAAAGGTTGGGAAACACAGGATTACAAATGAGGAGGTCAGATAAGATTAACCTTTCCTGTGGATTTTGTCCCTTTCCAGATACAGAAGTAGCACATGACCCAGGCGATGAAGAGACACAGGGCCAGGTCCCAGTTAAGGGAACCAATGTGGTCAATACCAGGAGAGATTCTCAGTGCTCTTCTCCTGCACAAGCAAAAAAAGTAACACCATTTTTTTTCTTGATGCTAATTAATTAAACAACGTCACATCGTGGTGTGGACGGTCTGGATACTCACTCCCAGAACTCGAGGACAGGAGAGGTGGCATTCAGGTAGAATGTTCCATCATGTGACCTGTTTCTTTTCTGAAACTCCACGCAATTTTCTGGGGGGGAAAAAAAAAGGAGCAACCGTTGGATGAAGGTAGTGCTGTAGTAGGAAATAGACTACTGATTTTGATTTTCACGTGTTCTGGCGTTCGTACGCTACCTGTGTTCCAGGTGTTGTTGCAGGACGACCAGGGCAATTCCCAGGAGAAGGAGAAGGACAGATAGAAAATCCCCCAGGCCAGAACAATGATGTAGTAAAAGTTTAACAGAGTCACGATCACCTGGGTTCCATAACCGAGACCTTGAACAACGACATGTTAAACATGAGGCTCCTCTGCAGCCGTTCACTGAGAGATTAACCTGCGGGTTACCACGAACGACTGAAACATCGGTGCATCCTACTCACCTTCAAACAAGGGGCTAATCTTTCTCCAGCAGGTGATTCCTCCTTCGCTGGTGAACTGACCCAGGGCTATCTCCAGGAAGAAGACCGGGACTCCGCAGGTGATCAGGAAGATCAGGTAGGGAATTAGGAACGCACCTGAGGTGGGACGAAAGAAGGAGGTCGGTGTTACGACTGACGGACACGACTTGACTTTAGAGCAGGAGAAGGACTCAAAGCCCAATCCAGATCTCAGACATGTTAATGTTTAGTCTCACGAACATGTGAATTTGCGGGGCCTCCTTCAGAAGCGACCCGTCACAAACTGCACGCTTGGCTAACTAAGAATTGATTAACACCTTCTTTCTTAGATAGTATGTTGTATTTGGGGTTTTTTAGACCACGACACCGGTGGAGATTTTGTGCCGACTTCCTGTTGAGTGCTGGGAGATGTTTGCTTCACTCAGATTCCCACCTCTCTGCAGGGACAGCTGCTGCGATCAAGGAGCAACAACAGCTGTCTGACCCCACTCAGCCCTAACCCCTGACCCCGCTGGCCCACACAGAGGGGCCTTCCAATTTAGCAGCTCCACAGGAGCATTTCCAAATTCCATCTTTGGAAATGTTCGCGAAGCGATCCGTGCTCTGGACTCACCTCCTCCGTTCTTGTAGCAAGAAGGCGCCACATATTCCCCAGGCCGATGATGGAGCCGGCCACCGACAGGATGAACTCCACTTTGTTGCTCCACTGGCCTCTCTCCTCCATCTTGTCGTCCACCGAGGACAGCACGTCTTTTGCTCTGGGTTTGCCATTGGAGACACCTGCTTTGGCAACATCTCCTACAGTTCAGAAAGAAAACGATCGAAACTCGACAAAACGGCAGGGGTTTTCAGATGAGCCTACGAAAATAAACTAAAACAAAGTTCAAAGTTAAAAAGTCAGTGAAAGAGTTTGAAGTGTCGTCATTTCAAAGGCGTCTAATTTCAACAACTAAAACACGCTTCTGGACCAGGTTTATCATTGTGTGTGAGGCTGTGTTACATTTTAATTTATTAGGTTTTTAAAACAGTCAAAACTGAAACCAGGACAAACGTCTACATTTTTAACCAGGCTCGAATGAAAGACAGTCAAAAAAAGACAGCTTTGATCAAATGCCATTTTATTTGATTGTTTTTTCTTATATATAAATATATACATATATGTTTATATAAACATATGTATGTGTTTTTGTGTGTGTGATGTTTTGATATAAGAATAAAAACATGTCACAGTTACAGGTGTATTTAATGAGGACCTGAATATAAGTTATGACATCATCTGCATGTAAAACAAAATCTCCAATGTATAAATATGAAAAATATAAAATTTAAAAAAGAACAAAATACTTTAGCTCTTTCTGCTCTTCTATATCTGTAGACAATAAAGAACAGCATATATGTCTGCATATATAAATGTAGTCAAAATAGAGTTCTGGTTCTCAGTCACAGCTGAACTTGAACTTTCAAACAAATTTAAAAAAAAGGAAAAAAAAAACAAAACAATTGAATGTCTGACTTTAATGAGTGACTGGATTTGGAGTTCACATTTTTCTCAGATGAAACAAAAAATAAAGCATAATACTTGTTTAATTTCATGTAGCTGCAGGATTCTCCAGAACCATCCCATAATAACAAAGACATTCACTGCTGTTTCACAGACACGTACCTTTCATCCTAAGGCTGTGCACAGTTGTGGTCCTGTCTCCTGTTGGAAGCGACGTCCTGGGAGAGTGATGTGTGACAATGCTGAGTTTTAGTATTTAACATGAGTAATGGAGGGGGGGGGGTCTGTCATGCTAATCTTAGGCGGGCCGTTTCCACTGTCTCCACTTCTGTCCTATTTCAGAGCAAAGTGCACCGATTGTCACTACGTTGTTGTAAGAACAGGACAAAACAGCAGAAACAAACCTACGAGCTACGATACGACGGGCGGTCCGACAGTTTCTAGTCTGATAAAGAAAATAAAATAAATAAAAAATAAAATAAAATAAAATAAAATAAAATAAAATAACAATGTTATTTCCTCCATTTAAGCCTGAACACACAACAGGTCCTGTGGAGGTTTGTATTTTTTAATGTCTTTTAAACCAGGTCATGACCTTTTTAGTTTTTAGTTTTAGTTTTGGGGGGAAAAAAATGTTGCACAGCCAGTTTTTTTTTTGGAAGATAAATACTACTACTACTACTACTACTAACCAAGTCACTTTATTTTCCCTGTAGGTCACTTTAAATTGTGATATTTGTCACCCTGTAAACACTGTCTACCCTGCCGTGTACTTTTTTATCACCTTGTAAATACTATTTCTGCTGTTACTTCACCTTTAGTACTGCATGTCTCTCTCTGCTGCTGTAACAAGTGAATTTTCCCAGTGTGGCATGAATGAAGTCTTACCTTATCTTAAATAAATCATCTCATATAAAACAACACGTAGGTCAACATTGCTGAAAGAAATAACAAAAATTGTTAATTGTCAAATTTGCTGCAGACGTCTTTTAAAAATCGGACAATTTTGGACAAATTCTGCGAAGTAATAGTTAGTATTGGTATTGTTGATTTTTTTATTGGTTGACTGCAGAACATGACAGGGCAAAAATTGTGAAGAAGATTATGCATAATCTGAGTTTTGCAGATGGCTTTGGACTGTGTCGGGAAGAGAGTGAGGCGGTCGTGGTTGGTTCACACCAGTTCTGAGTTAGCCGAGGTAAAGGCTCATCGCCCCCCTCCCCTTTATCAATGTTACTGCAGCTGAGGCTTTATTTTAGGCTAGGTGTAAAAAAAAAAAAAAAACATTAAAACTTTTCTCTTTAGAAAACCCTCTGTCTTTTATTGAAATAAACAACATTTTTATTTAAAGTTAGAATTAAATTTGACTCTTCAGACCAGATCACCTTGGGCTTTAATTAAAAGTTTGTTTGTTTTTTTATTTTTTAAATAGTTGAAAATTCC